AGCTTCCAATATCTTCTTACTTGATTTAACTAAACTACCTGACTTCCTTTGCTTTCTTTTGCATTAAAAAAAAAAATTCGCGTGTCACAGGGGACTTTACAAATATTAATGAAACGAATACAAAGAACACCCAGACTCAGAACAACTATTTGTGGTTCACACAAAGTGTTGTCTCATGTGCGGATCGAACTCTAAACACTCAGTGCAGTAAGAAGAAGCGAGGTGACCGCTCAAACCAGTAGGTACGCCATCCGTGCAGGAGATTGTCCTTTGAGATAGTTAAGTAAAACTTGTCAGATACTTAACTCATAAGTACTTATATAAGTTCTATTCTATTGCCACCTCTTCCTGTTTTATACTCGTATTTTTTTGATATTTAAATGGCGGTATTTATGTTTTATACTCTACTTACTATTACTAACTTTTTGTGTTTGTGCGGACATCTATTCTAATGTTCTACAATAAATAAAGAGGTGTATGTACCTTCCTAAGAATATTTCCAAAAACTATTTAAATTTTAATGAAAACTGTGTGTTGTTACTGTTATTAACAGGCAAATATAGATCCGAAGTACGAGGAACTAAGCCTCACGATGCAAAATAATATGCACATTTAAGAACTTAACCGACGTATAAATATTGGATATATTTTCATATTACTTTTCTACTACTTACAAAACCTTATTATAAACATTTTTTTCAATTTTTCGTAATTAGCAATTACTATAACAATACAAATTTTGTAATTATGAATGTTTAAACCAGGTAACATTGACTGAAGTTCCGCCATCTTTTCTATCTAAAATCATCGTCATCAATATCAACTGCTCGGTTAACACAATTCAACATTACTGTTTTGGTCAACATTTCTAATACGGATCTGACAAAGAATAATTTCATAAACGTATTATGGAAATATTACTATTTTTAATTATAAAATACTTTTAAATTACTTTTATCTATCATTTACAAAAGTAAAGGTAAATTATATAATCTGTATAGAATCATTTAATTTTTTCTGACACTCAAAATATTAGAAAATACGTACAGTTTTTTCAAGAAGCTTGTGTAGAAGAAAATCATAATTTATTATCAATTTTAAACTTCATATCATAAAGAAAACTCATCAGAGGAGATTTCACACACCTTTCTATAAAAAAGAACTTACTTTTGGCACAATTTTGTAAACACAATATTCTTGACCGGAATATAATAGTTTTACGGTTATCTACATGTTTAGAAAGTACTTCAATCACAGTGCCTAGGAACTAGAGTACGCAAGTAAACTTTTAAATAAACTCTTTAGATAGAGCAAAAATAGTACACCTTGAGAAAAGCGTAACACGACATTATAAAATCCCGGTCTCTTTTATATTAACTAAATACAAAAATCTTAATATTTAGTCTGTGTAACAATAAAAATTCAAAACGAATTACATTAGCTACTAAACAAACCTCTTTAAAAAGTTTATTGACAAGCAAAAGACATTGGAACCATAACAACATTGGTCAATATTTTAGTATCAATAGTCTATAAATGATACAACGTTCATCGTCGGTGTATGACAAAAGGCTTTCTGACAATAAATAATCATTGTCATCAAATTATTCCACCCTGTAGTCGTAAAGGCAAGACAACGTGTTAATACGTGCCCAGTATATACGCGACACAACGCCTTTTATTTGTAACCACATGAGATAGGGATGTGCGTTGAACAATCGACTAATGCAAATTGATTTTATCGATCGTTTGTTATTTCAATCGTGTTCAAATAATAAGCAACTGTTATTGGAATATTTATACAAACCATCGGTATTGCGAATATATACACCCAGCAGCGGGAAGAGCTAAACCTCAGGCAACGAGTACTGATTGTATATAAATTGGTTGAAACATTGTATCTACTCATTATAACTCTTAAAATATACAATACTTAAAATAAATGGGTATTAAAAAGATATTCACAATTAAATTAAAAAAAGAACTACATTATATTTACAAAAGTATTTACCTATCAAGTATTGCCCGAAAGATACGAATATTATCGCGTATTTGGTCTTTGTTCTAACATCAATACAAATATTTAACATACTTTACTAATATTAACATTCATAATCGATGATATAAATCGATTAAAGCCGTCCATCACTACATTGAACGGTCGTAGCGTTCGGCAAAGTTAAAAGAAAGTGGCGATGCGCAGGCGCCCCGCCGCGAGTCCTCGACATTCCCGAAACGTTCTACGGATTCGATATTTGAAAATTTAAATATAGGCACCTATAAGTGGCGAATTTAAACGACTTTAATGTCAGCGGGGCATATTCGTTTTAAAAGGACGTTTTGAATGTTCGATTAAATATGCAGTTAAAAAAAGTAAACAGTGTTTATCGTTGTCCTATTAAGAATGAGAATACAAGTTTACAGAAAATAATAAACCAAGAATGGTCTACAAACAGACTATTTATATATTTAACTTCGTCTGATGGTCGAAAGAACTGATAAACTAAACTATTTTAGATCTTTTTTATATTTACAAATATTTTTTAAATTGAATTTTATTATAAACATCGAATCCACTTCAAAGGCTATGAAGATCACGTGTATATAATTGGATTCGAGTGAACCACAATTGGCGATGCGCGGGTGGCGCGTGTGTCCCTGCTACCGAGATACGTAGGCCAGGAGCTAAACAACACTTTTCGATGACGTTAATTTATTTGCAAGCTTAATACAGAACGAATATACATCTTCTAAGTATTTTATAGCAATTGTATTAATTATTTTCAAATTGGTTATCTTTTGTCATATTTACGACCCCTTTTATCGTGATTGCGTTTACGTTAAAGTTGGTTTTAATGAAAGATTTTTAAATTATGTTTCAATAAATAATAGCCCTCAGAATGGGTATGTCAAATGTCTTAATAAATGCTTGATTAGTTAATTCCTGAAAGCGTTACAAATCAACAAATCTCAATCAATCAATTACATTGATAATGATTGTTGTGGTTGTAAGTGAAATTGGAATATAAATATTTAACCAAATTTAACAAACATAATTAATTTAAATTCTCATGTCTATTATAAACTACAGTCAACACCTCCATGGGACTATATTAAAGAAATAGTTCGTTTTACGTTTTGTAACAACTTAAATATAGCAAAAAGTTTCTCAGCTCTTCAACTCCAAAAACAACATTATTATTACCAATTATTGATCTAATTTCGCGAAATCAAGCCACTTAGCTTGTTTTGACGGGTAAATAAGTTATTATCGTCCTCTTTTATGCTTGGAATGCCTGGAGCTTATAATTATTTCAAGAATTTGAAACTTATCTTGTCAATCGTGAAATAGATTTGCATTTAAAATTGTTTATCCAGAATCGTTTTGCTTTGGATTGATGTTTTGGATGTTAATCAATGTTTTAAATTTGGAAGTTTAATTTACGTGATTGAAAAGTTCATCTATGTTTGTAAAACTTAAATACACTACATATTTCGAACCCATATTTTATTACTTTAAAAACTATTTTGTTTCGAGAGCAATCTTTTACAATACAAAAGATGGGAAGTGGATATAAAATGTAGGCATGTACATCGAAATTAAGGAGCCTTGAAATAAAGTCGGTATGTACTATATAGCAATGTTTATACAAGATGTTAAGTTTATGTGTTATATTAAGTTTATATTATATTTATTAAAGATTATATTTAACAGCCGCCTCCATTATAACTTTTTATTCCCTATTTAGTGAATTTAATGGAAGTTTAATTTAATGTTAAAATTAAAGATTTGTTGAATAATTAGATACAGAAACAGTGCAGAGGAAGAAATTATTGAGTTTTTACATGTCACTATATATGACATAATTAAGTATAAAATGGATTTATTAAATTAATAGGAAATTTGTGTACTTTAAAATGACTTATTCACATTATACTATGTTGTGTACAGTATTGCTATCTAGTTCTATAGTATATATGTAAAAACACTTTATTATTTCTTGTGTATGTTGTAAAGATTTAAATGTTAGTTTACACTAAACCTTTTATTTTTTCTTGTTAAGGTTGGGACTAGGACTTCAATATAATTTTTTTATGGCACATCAATTAGGTTACAGATTTGCAGAGAGATCTCACGGGAAACTTGAAGGTGTCAAAATAGTTGTCTAATGATGCGATTCGATTCAAAGCTTTTAACACTACAAAAACCTTAGGTGTGCGTTCAAAAACCTTCAATATTTTTTTTGTAAAACCATTATTCTCTCATTGTTAAATAAACCATAAATCGTTATAAAATGGTCAGTGTCTCGCGTTGAATGGAGCGGCCGCTGGGTGCTTATGATTTTTATAAAAAATGTCAATAATAAGGACAATATTTTAAATGTCCTTTTGTGAGGCTAGCGCCGATAGGCGCTAAGGTGAGATAATATGCATAATAATAGCTGCGATTATTTTTGTATTTATGAATATGAAAGGATGGGTATATTTTATTAGAATTATCTTAGACCTTTTTAAGTTTACATCGTAACATTCTGTAGCAGAAAGTTTAAGTACCTAGTATTATATGTATAATTTATAATTTTTTAAGTATTCATTCTAAGTCTGACTTAGCAACCAATATTTTTTTCCGCAATAGGTATTTAATACGATACTTTGTTATAAAACTTGTGCTGAAAACTCTTACATAAAACTTGGGATGTGTGATATTAAACAAGATTTACGTGTTTGTATATTGATATTATGATCAAGCAGAATGAAATGAAAATGCATATTATGAATGATGATGAATTAATGAATGATAACTACATTTTTAACAGACATAAAATCAAAAGATTATAAAATATTTTAAAATGTTATTCAATCATTGGGTTTTCTTATATTTATTTATATTTTCATTAGAAATAAAACACGAACAGATCTAAAGTTATAAACCAGTATTAAAAATAAGAGAAATCAAGGATTGAATGAACAAATATTAGAACAAATGACAGAGTACTCACTGTAATCGGGCGATGGTAACGGCGATATTGTTGATTAATGTTTATTTTTACGTACAAATTACTCGGCTGCGCGGCGGTGACTGTTGCGATTGCAGTAAAAAACAGTAATTTATTAGTGGCGACTTCTCGTGTTGGCACGGGCTTAACGAGTGTGTGGCGTGTCGTGAGGTGGACAGAAAAAACTGGCTTGCTTGGTACGTAGCTCGAGCAGCAGTGGCCTGAGGAAGAATAACCCCAGGAGTCGATGGGAGCTGCCACCGCTTCCGAACGTGCCCCGTACCCCGCACCGCCTTCACCCGCCCGATACAGATCACGCATTCTACAAATACCTTTAGCTACGGCGCCGGCGACCACCAGCCATCTCTTTCGCTCTAATGCTGGTGCTGCTGCGCTGGAGGTCCTAAGAATCACTGTCGCGCGGGACGAAGGGGGTCTAATGGAAGTTTCACAGCGAACGTCGCTTCCTAAGTTCACCAAGTAAAGGTCACACGGGCTAAGCGAGCTGAGCGTCGCAGCGTGAGCGTGGAACTCAACCGCGGCGAGGTAGCCGCGCGTGCGCAACACCGGCAGCGCCCACATGACCGGCCGTTTAGCTGCGTGCGATACCCGCAGAATACTATCTGTCTCGCTCGCACTTACTATAACCTTTATGTACTCTCTCGCACACGGAGACGTGGAAAAATGTATCTAGTTCTGTAGAGACGACGCGGAGTGCAGTAGCAAAGTTTTTTTTTTCGTTTCAATAAATTTGTGGTTGTTCGTCTCGCTTAGGCGCGCGCCCGGGGCGTCGTCGAGCGAGACGGTGTGTTGCCACCGAGTTACGCCTTCCGCGCGTTCTCGTTATTATGTAGGTTGGCCACGTATTAGAGCCTCCATGTACCGGGCGTAAGTATAAAATATAATATTGTCGTAAATACAGAGTTGTTAGCGGCGTGGTCGGTTATTTATGTTCGGTGCGCAGCTACCGTGGCACGCGCCGCCTTCTATGTTTTCGTATTACATAACTTCTTCTGCAGTAAAATGCGTGCGGTAGAATGCCATATGTGATAGAAATAACAATTGTATATTTTCTTTACTGACATCTCCAAGTAATTTAGGTTTAGATTAGGATGGACGCGTATTTAATGAAGTAATCATCATTTTGTCCATTGTTTCATCATTTTCAAAAACGACCTTATAATGAACATTTTGTTATTGAAGTATTTCCTAAATGAAGAATGAATGAATATTAAATCAAACATATTTGTAGACTTACCCAAATTTTTAACTAGGCGTGGGTGCTGTTCGGACTTAAGTAATAAATTACCGATAGAGATACCAATTTTGTGAACAATAAAGATATTTACTTATTAAAATAAGTTTTTTAAAATACCTCAGCTTCAAATTTTTTTAACGAAATGTAATTTTAAATTTTACTAATTTTAAATTTTACTAGTTAATACTACACCTACCCCGCTATTGGGTAGATATAGTATTAACTACTATAACCAATATTTTTTTAGAAAATGAATTCGTTTTTTATTTATGTTTATACTTAGGCATAGTAAAGCATGCTTACCAGTGCATTATGGTAGACAGATATATTTAAACACAAAGAATGGTCAGTGTGAGTAATATCATTCCTTTTTATGTATAGTCAAAATGACATTTGACTCGCCTGTTGGTCTAGTGGTTAGTGACCCTGTCTGCTAAGCTGGAGGTTGTGGATTCGATTCCCACTAAAGACAAATAATTGTGTGATGAGCACGATTATTTGTCCTGCGTCTACGTGTAATAGAAATTTATATTTAGAATTAGAAATATGTATTTAAGAATTTTTATCAAGAGTCTGGTTCCCATAGCACGGGCTCTGCCTAGTTAGGGACAAGATTGCTGTGTGTGAGATGTGTGAAGTTATTATTTATACTATACATATTTAACCTAATCCTTTTGAATAAGTAGGTAAGAATTCAATTTAAATTGATGTCGAAGCAATTTGAAAAATTGGAAAGGGTAATGATATTAGCGATAGTTACTCTGTATGTTACACTTTCATGGCTAAAACAGCTGAAACAATCTTTATGAAATTTAGCATGGAGATACTTTGATAACTTCTTTTTACCGCGATAAGCGATATATACGAGGGTGAAGCCACGGCTAGAACTAGTAGGAAATACTAGTCTCATCAGTCAACTTACAAATTTTCAAAATCAGTTTTCTGTATAAAATCACGAATACTCGTACTTCTAAAATTGTTAGGGCTTTGAGGAGTTTCTACACGGCCCAAATATAATAACACTTTTTTGTAATACTTGTATTAGTTGACACTTGACTTTCCGAAGAGGTGGACAGAAGTTTGTGACCCACGTTTTCAACATACATTCGAATTACAAAAACAAATTGTTTAAATTAATACGAGTACACTCACTCAGTTGGCTAAGTGATCACTTTAGAATTCTTAGAAAACTGAGACGTTTAATAGATTAATAATTATAAGATATATAAATATAAGATAGATAAATATAAGATTAATTTAATAGATTAAGCTATCAAAGCGTAATAAACAAGTAAAACAATTCTATTTAGCATTTCTAATATTAGGTAATAAGAGTTAGAGATAATAATCGAATCAAAAGCACCAGGTATATTAGTAGTATAGTAGTAAAAGTACCCTGAGGTGTTAAGGTATTTTCGATTCTTTAGTAGATATTTTTTAAGAAATCAACAAAATTTTACTAGGTAAGCGATTATTTTAGTTAGGATAGTTAATTGTTGTGATTTTTTAGGTTATGTAATTGCGCAGAGAAGATTGTGTAGAAAATTTACCCTAATGTCACTTCTAGCAATAGGACGTGGGGGTAAATTTTCCAGCTTTTTGGATATTTGACATAAGCATGGTAATCTTGCTTTTCACCCACTAGTTAAAAGGCAACAAAAGAATTGCTTGACACCGGGTTCCTGTAAGCCCATGTTATCACTCCAATCGAACCAACTCATACATAGGAATAAAGGGCCTGTTGGTCTAGTGGTTAGTGTCGTGGGTTCGATTCCCACCCAGGACAAATATTGTGTGATGAGCACGGTCATTCTGTTCTGTGTCTGAGTGTAATTTCTCTATGACATGTATGTATTTAAAAATATATAAGAATGTTTATTAGCAAGCTGGTTAACATCACACAGGCTCTGCTCAGTTTGGGTTTAGATGGAGCACTATGTGAGATTACATATCTCACACAGTGCTCCATCAACCACCAAACAACCAAAACTAGGTACATTATTATTATTAAAATATATGCTGAAACATGGCTCTCCTATAGAAGAAATTTGTGCTTTTTAACGTACATTACCAAATACAAGAGTTACGAAGATTACAAACCTCTCACCATACAAAAGTGTCAACGCAACCGTTAAATACTTTCAATGTTCTTAAGCCATTTTTCACACAAAACGGTTCGTTCAACCGGCATTTAAGCCCTAGGATACATTGTCTGTCACACAAACTTTAACGGGATGACACGCGTCACTTACAAAAGAAACAAAACTATTGTAACAAGACTAACATTCCGTACCGTCACGCTTATTAACAAGTAATCAACCAAACAAATAGAAACAATACCCAAAAACATCAAAACATATTAGGGGACGGATTGTTTCCGAAATTGGCATCTATTATCAAAGACGACGGGGGCCGGATAGTCTTTGTGTCACTTTATGGCCAGCAAAGTGTCAATGTTTGCTCACAGTGTTAGGAGACAAAAAGTTTATGGCGATTGAGAATGTGATTGTCCCGTTTTTGTTGGCAAAGAATGGTCACAGCGACCACACTGGAGGGCTGATGCGTTGCTAATTTTTTTTGTAATTTCAAAGACTTCATATTTTAACTTAAAATTATTGTTAATAATAATTTATTTATTACGCTTTTTGTGCTGGATTTCATTTCAAAATATAAGGTTTAGTTAGGATCATCTTTTAATCCCATAGATTTGCATGTTAAACCAGAACCAGTGTAAAGTCCCTGTGGAGCGAAGGAGTAACAAACATTTAGTTTGTAAGTTTTACTAACAAAAATTTGCATATTTTGGTATTAATGAGAATTCATAAACAAGAAGGGGTTAGTAAGTTAGTTGTATATTCTTAGTAATTATAACTCGTAGTGTCAGTCATTGAAATTTGAGCGCGTTGATGTCTTTTCTTAGGATTGATTTAAGTGACACGAGTTGTGTTACAATTACTCACACAGGTTTGACTAAAAAAGATACGACTTTAGAGTTGCAGGTGTCCATTGGTGGCGGTAGTTGACCCGTCTACCCCCTTATACCATAAAAAAAGATATACAATCCATAACTTTTAAATGTCAAAATATATTTTTTCCAATAGATGCAGTTTTGTTTTTTTCTTCTTTAAATGTTTCTTTCTTGTTTTTCGAGAGGCGTAAAAAACATTCTTTTTTGCAGATAAAATTTAATTTGATGGAAAAAAATTCATGATCTGATTATATTTTCAGTTAGGAATCAATTCAACTTATCTCTATATAATACTCGAAGAATTTAGTTTGTATGTTGGTTAGTTTATATGTTGTAATTGCATATAATGTATAAAACTATTACATAAAGTGATAGCGGTATGGTTAGTATTTTACAAGGAATTATAAACTGACGGTTGAAAATAGACCGCCATGCGATCTATAGCGAGCACTTTTGATACGAGTAATTCTATAAAAATGAAGCTCATATATAAAGTAATCTCTTCAGCCTATTGCCGTCCTCTGCTGACCGAAAGCATCCCCCCAAGAGTGCCAACCATCCCGCTCTTGGGCAGAACACATCCATCCGCTGCCAGCCATTTTCCTCAAGTCGTCGGACCATCGTGCCGCAGGGCGGCCTACACTACGTTTACCCAATCGCGGTCTCCCCTCTAACACATGTCAGCTCTATCAGTCCGCCTGGGGACATGACCAGCCCACTTCCATATCAGCGTACTGGTTCTCTGTCAGTTACTCCAGTTCCCTGTCGAATCGTTTCATTTCAAATTTTGTTGACTAGAGAAACACCAAGCATCGAACGCTCCATCGCCCGCTGAGCGACTTTAAACTTGTGGACCAGTCCAACGGTGAGTGTCCAAGTCTCGGCTCCGTATGACAATACGGGTAGGACGTACTAGTTAAAAGCCTTAGTTTTTAGCGCCTTTAGAAGCTTCCCTTATACCGCTCAGCCCAGATGATTTTTTCTATTGACCTCTCGATCGAAGTTATGCCGGCCGAGTTGGATAGTTTGGCTAACACCATTCACGGCCACGGGACTCGGAGATACATGTCTGTCATGTAGATCATGTATAGATCTTGGTCGAACTAATGTTCATCCCGATTCACACTCGTCTTGAAGAATCGTCCAGGCTAATAAGCATTTCTTCCAAATCATGTACAGTAATATATATACATATCTTGAAAACAATAACGAAAAAAAATCATAGTATCATGATTATTACATACGCATGATCATGACATTTAGCCATGACCCGTCTACCGTTGAACATAAAGACTTTTTTAATCATCAAAATCAAATATATTGCCAATAAACTTGTCTAAACAGTAGACGCTCTTC